CGTCACCCGCAGACCTCGATGAATGGCTTGCGATTCAGGCTGTGCTTGTGAGTTAATTTTATTGGGAGTTTTAAATTAGGAAAAGACGATTTCAACGTTTATGAATTCGTTTTTTTGGACTCGGATAATGCATTTTCTGCCAAGAGTTGAGGTCTGCAGCTGACGTCACAAATAGTGGGGTCTCGTGGACTTCGCAGACACTTTCAGCTCAATGAGCAGTCCAATTAGCACAGGATATACAAAAACAAACAGCAGGATAACTCTCACGCGCATCTCTTCTGCGCACGCCGCCATTCGAGGATACAGCGTATCTTTACATGGCAAAACAATGAGATTTAACGCCCATCTCATCTGCGCACGCCGCCATTTTGGGATACAAAGCTCAAATTAGCCTGCTGATTGTTTTTGTATATGCCGTGCTATTAGGTAAAGTGTTATTGAGCGCGCATGTACCAGGAGCGGCGTAACATAACTAAATATTGTATAGTAGATTTTTATTTCAATTATTTCCGATTACATTATATTTGATTACTGATTTGTATTACTACAGAGAGAATTCGTGAGATTTGCTACCTCATTCGTGAGATCGTGAAATTCTGACCAAAATCGCGTAATCTTACGAATAATCGTGAGATCTGGCAACACTGAATGTTGAATATTCGTTATGCACCGAGTTTGGTGGTCGTGGCTTGTAAGGTAAAGCGTGGGGAAAGGCAAACGACCCTATTTTATTTTATTCCGGTCATATGATAGCTGTAAAAAAATTCGTCTGGTGATTTGGAAACGCTTCAAAGAAATCTAACGGACGGAGTCTTTTTTTTGAAATGTCCAATTTTGACAGCTGTCAAAGTCAAAAATATGACAAGCAGGTCAATATCAAAAAAAGGATTCCACCTCGCATAATATTTTTCCGAAACATTTCAAGTCGTGTAAAAAAAAATTTTGACAACTATGACTGTCAAACCTAAAAATATGACAAGCGGTGACAGCTGTCGGAAATTTCCGACGCCGATCGGTGGCCAACGTTGAATAATCGTTATGCACCGAGTTTGGTGGTTTTCGCTTGTAAGGTAAAGCGTGGGAAAAGGCAAACGAGCTTATTGCATCCGATACCAGTCGCATGATAGGATAGCTGTTAAAAAAAATGTACCTGGTGATTTGGAAGCACTTTAAAGAAATCTAAAGAGGGACGGAGTCCTTTTTTTGAAACGGCCAATTTTGACAGCTGTCAACGTCCGAAAGTATGACAAGGAGAGTCAATATCAAAAAAAGGACTTCACCACGCTTATTATTTTTGAAAAATAAATCGATTTGGGAAAAAAAAAATTTGCCATCTGTCACAGTCGCGCGGCCGAGTAATAATTTTTTAAATCGGATGGCGACGAAACCGGTGCATCCGTATAGATTTCGGCTCTGCGAACACGTAAGAAATACTAAAAAAATTCCACCTTTAATTTTGACAGCTGTCAACGTCAAAAAAGTGACAAGCAGGTAAGGTAGGATGACAGACGTCATCGGCAATTGAAAGCAATTTAAAAAATGACAAAACGTATATTTCTGGTTTCTTGAAAATTTGACATGTGTCAAAAAATTACGTTTGGTGCTGTAACTCTGACAGTTTTTGACGTATATTGATGGGAGTTTTTATTTAGGGTTTCCGGGGTCGGCGAAACGTTTTCCGCTACTTTTTTTTTCGAAATTCGCAAAATAAAAAAAAAAAAATTGACGTTGACAGCTGTCAAATTTTTTCGACACAAACCGATAGTTGACGTCCCAAAACCGCCTTCTGCCGAATTTTGGATGTCGTAGCCTTTATAGTGGAGCGGAAAAAAAATCGGAAATGTGTCAAATTTGACAGGTGACATCTGTCGATATCGCCAAATTGTTTAGCGACCAAAGTTCTATCCGAACGCATCTTCGAAAGTTGACGTATGTCAAAGATGACGTTTTTCCTGTTTCCGCCAGTTTCAGTTTTTGACGTATGTCAAAAATTTCAAAATTTGACATTGACAGGTGGCTAAGTTGGCCATGGAATTTTTTTAGTGATTTTTCCAAATTCGCCTCGATGTTTTCTATCCGCCTATACAGGGTGTATATTTTAAGCGATACTACTATTGCTATATCCGAAACGGTAAGAGATACAAGGGCGGTTAAATTAGAAAAAAGTTGCCTTTTTTGATGCCCATTTACGTCTCGTTCACAGTGTTGCCAAACTCCTTTTAGTTTTTGAAATATAAGGTGATTTCTTAAAAACGCCCAAGAATATTTTATCAATTATTTGGAAAACTATTGATTTTCGAGGCACAATTTAAATTTGAAAGTTTTTTAATTTTTTTCGCTCTACAATATGGCATCTTCAAATTTCAAATCCAACATTTCGTGATCAAGCTACCATCATCAGCTTCATTTTTTTAAATACGGACCTGGATTTTTTATGCTATTTTTAGAAAGCGCCCTTCTTTCCCTTTCTAAAAATGACATAAAAAATCCAGGTCCGTATTTAAAAAAATGAAGTTGATGATGGTAGCTCGATCACGAAAAATCGAATTTGAAATTTGAAGATGTCATGTTGTAGAGCGAAAAAAATTATAAAACTTTCAAATTTAAATTGTGTCTCCGATATCAATAGTTTTCGAAATAATTGAAGAATTAATTTTAGCGCTAAAATTTCGTAAACTAAAAGGAATTTGGCAACACTGTAAACAGGTCTTGAACGGGCATCAAAAAAGGGCAACTTTTTTCTAATTTAACCGGCCTTGTAGCTGTTATCGTTTCAGATATAGCAATAGTGGTATCACTTAAAATATACACCCTGTATAAGTTTTATCCGCCGTTTTCGAAGGAATCGATTACTCGATCGCACGGATTTCGATTCCGAGTTACAAGTCGGAGTTCTAAGTTATAAGTCGGAATTCCGAGTTATAAGTAGGAATAATTCCGAGTTACGAGTCGGAATGATTCCGAGTTTGTAAGTCGGAATAATTCCGAGTTACAAGTCGGAATTCCGAGTTACAAGTCGGAATTCCGAGTTACAAGTCGGAATAATTTTTTTTTTACAAGCGGTGGCCTCTCTACGCTTCCGTACCACACCATTTAAATACCTACCTAATTTTTCCCCAGAAATATTTCTTCTATCAATTGTTGCAATACACTATTACATTTAACAAGTCAAAAACTAACAAAAAACAGAAAAAAAAGTTGAGGTTCGTATTTGAAAAAATAAAGTTGATGATGGTGGCCCAAAGACGAAAAGTCGGATTTTAAATTTGATGATACCATTTTGTAATGCAGAAAAAGTGGCTACACTGAAGTGACATTTACTTTCATATATTTCTTCAAACAAACTAAGGAAATAGCTATTTACCTAACAAGTGCGGAAAAATATTTTCCGCAAGTGTTAGGTACAATATTTTTCCTACAGGCGTAAAAATGTAAAATTTTTCTTTTTTTTTGACATATCAGTGCGGTAAAAAATTTTCCGCACTGACAGCCGTGCGGAAAAACTTTTTCCGCACTGAAATGTCAAAAAAAAAAAGTTTTACCGCGCCGTGTGGGAAAACTCATTTTCCGCACGGCTAGTAGAAGAAAACGAGGAAGACCAAAACTGGAATGGCAGAATACCACGAGTGAAAGAAATCTCAAAACAGAGGATTGCGACGATAGAGGAGGATGTAAATTAGGTGTCAGACAATGAAGAAAGACGTTCTAAAACGACATAGAATGATGTCTGTAAATGCTGAATTGTTAGTAGTAGTTGAAAAGCTATCCATTAAACAATACATCAGATTTAAAATGTATTCTGGTTGGAGGATTTCCAAAGGTACACACATCAAAATAGTCTAGGGAACAAGATGCAACTGAATACATTTATAAATTGAATAAAATATACTTTAAAAGATTTTTAAATTTTGTTAAAGCCTGCTGGAAAAGCCGATATGATAAATTTTACAAGATTTGTTTGACAAATACCCATATGGTATCTTTAAAAAAAAAGTTATTCTGTCTAAAAATTAAAAGACGAATATTTCTTGTTCCCTAGACATTTTTGATGAGTGTATCTTGTGCAAATATAAGTCCAGTACAATGAACTATAGCGAAAAACTGGAATGCGCACACATTGCTATATCTGCCAAAAAAATGTAGCCATGAAAGACAGATGTCACAAAGGGGAATGTTGTTTTTTTTCTGTTGCTCGCTGACATATGACGTTTTGGACAGTTTTGTCATATTTACCTTCACAAATGGAATAAGTATTGGAAGCAATTTTCGCCATTTAACATAATGAGTGCGACAAAAACAGGTATCCCCTCCGCGGCAGCGGCACTAGGCTTCACGTTCGTCAATGTGTTTGCGTTTGCATTCTAGTTTTTGGTTATAGTTCATTGGTCCAGTATGTATTTCTAAGTTGGTATAGACTAAATCACGATAGAAAGTGAAGTTGACAGTTCGCGTTGACATTTTTAGTAAACTTTTTCTTTAGGTTGTCAGCATGCGTTAGCGCTTCGATTTCGTCAGCTGGGATAAACGACAGGGTCGTATTTAGAAAAGTGATATACATTTCAGGATAAAAACTTATTTTCAATTTCTTTAAAGGAAGTTATTAAAATCCAAAAATCCTAAAATTAGAGTCCAAAGTAAACACTTATAATAAGAGTAAACACTTAAATCCATACTAAAACCAGGTTTGAAACGCAACACCGAAACACAAAGGCACAGACCACTACATAAAAACCAAAAATCCGATTGCGATAATAACAAATAAAAAAATAATGCAGAAAACGGCAAAAAACTGAAAGATTTCACACAAAAATTCGAAATTCAAAAACCCGAATCTGTTATTTTTATGTGTCAAATCAAAATGTCATGTATCATTATTTGATAGTTGTCAGAAAAAGGAACAGATGGATTTTATTTATTTTCAACTGAAAATAACGGTCAAAATTCAAACTCTCTCGTGAATATGACTATAGCAGAGAATTTTTCAGAATGAAACATTTCATTTGGGAGAATTTTTAAAAATCTTTATTGGTTTTTTTAAAATTAAATATAGGTTTTTGCGAAGAAGAAAATCAAGCCATACTTTCAAAAAAATAAATTTCTGGTAAATTCGGTACAAAAATTTTCATTAATGTTTGTAAGTAGTATTATAAAAAACCAGTTTTAAGCGGCAACAGCTGAAAATTGTTATTTTATAAAAGGAGATATTTATACAAAGAAAACCTGTTATTTCAACTACAAAGTGAGAATTTCACTGGCTTTTTCTTCAAGCAGCTTCTCCATGGTACCCACGTGTGTACACCACTGATTAAGTCTTTCAACCATGGTTGTTATTTGAGTTCTGTCTAATACTCTCGGTTGCACCCAAGTCATGTTAACGGTACTGGCAACCTGAATAGAAAAAGAAACAATGCAAATAAAGGAATCAAATAATTTTGAACTTATATAATCATTACCTGGTCTATTGCACCCTTAACCAAACCTTGAGACAAAGCTTTCATGACCAAAAGTTCAATTTCATTGACAGGTAGTTTAGTTTCGCTAGCAATTTCGGCAAAAGTTAGTTGTCTATCGTGTGAAGGTCTTTTGAATGTCATCTAGAAAAATATTAATCTTTTCTTTACCTATATAAATTGTTATTTATTGGTATCAGATGACTATAAACTGAAATTTTTTAGTACATCACTCGAAAGAATTTTAACCTTGCTATTTTGCCATGCGAGTCAGTGAGCTTTTAATCCTAGTTTTCAGGACCAAAGTGTAGCTTTTAATCCTTAGGATTTAAAAGTCTCACTCTACTCCCTGGAAACACTTCAATTCCCGATTCTATGCATTTTGGGGATGACAATAGGCCATACTGTGTCTTTTCTCCTATTTGTTTTTTTGTCAAATTTATCATAGTTTCAAAATTTGAGGTTGTTCATTTTGAATGCTTATGACAATAAAATTATAATTGATATAAAATGAGACAACAACCTACCTCCATAAGGCACAACAATGAAATTTTCTGCCTCAAAAACAATTCTTGAGCAGCTAAATCGGCAATTGAGCCCCATTTCGTCTTCATCTCCTCAAATTTGTTGATATCTCCAGAATTGAACGCGTGCAGCAAATCAATGAGCCAAGCATTTTCCGTACTTTGCAGAGATTGCAAAACGGGGTGAGCCAAAAGCTCTCCCAAATTATAAATGCCTTCTCCCAACAAAGCGGCTAAACCCAAAAAGAAGGCGTGTTGCATCTTGGTTTCCTCAGTAAGGGTTTCCAATTCGATACAGCCCAAATAACGTAAAGCCGTACGGTAATATTGGGCATGATTGCCTTGTATTCTGTAGTATTGAGAAGCTAGCAAGTAGAATCTTCCGTGGACTGGTGTTACTCCGTCTGCATTATCTAGGGTCTCTTCAACTTCTTCGATGATTTTTTTTGTGTTATCTAAATCGTTAAGTTTTTCTAGATAGATTTGACCAGCAAGAACTGTAAATAAAAAAAATAATTTAATAGCGTTACTTGCTTATTACATATTTCTGATTAAACCCCAAAAAAACAGAAGTGATTTTCAAATTGTCACTGATTTGCAGAAAAATAACAAAACTAAGAGAAGTAAGGTGTATTTTTTGTACTCTTAACATGCATGCTAGATTTTGGATTTAGGTCAGCTTTGTCAATATTATTTGTGTACTCAGATGTAGTGATGTAAAATGCTCAAGCAAGTATTTTAGGAGAACTTTCTCCGAGCACGATCTAGAATTAACGAGAATAAACGAGCAAAAACGAGCAGGACCCGAGAATTTATGCTTTTTATCAGAAGCTGAATAAAACAAAACATTTTTCTAAATAAATTCTGATTTTTCTCAAATTTCCCGAAATTCCCAAATTTCTTGATAAATGTGCTGAAAGTTCTCAAACTTCTTAAGAAAATATACCTACTTAATACATAATTAATCACATAATTTGTGAATTGTGTCATGTTTGATAACAATAATTATTCTAATTTGGGGTTTTCTGTGAAACTTCAACATACAATTATCATTAGGATTCTTTTTTTTTTGATAATAAAATAAAATAGTGATTTTAGTTTAAGTATATTCCAGTACAACGCTACCTTTGCCTCCAAAAAAAAATAACTATTGCTGCTAAGTTGCTTCCTGGTTCTCGGGCTCAATATTCGATATATCTTCGCCTTCAACAGCTTCCATAAATATATCTCTACTTTATGGCGTCATGTGATTTTATTGGTTAGGATTGTGCTTGAGAACGTGCTGAATATTCTCTATCGTGCTCATTGTGCTCCGAAGGTAATATTCAGCACGAACCTTTTTTTCGTGCGCGAACGTTCGCGAATGTTCTCGAAAGCACAATCAGAACGTTCCCTTGTTCACATCACTACTCAGATGATAAAGCATGTTTAGTACTACAACTAATACTACTACTAGAAACGGCATAATTCCATGAAATTTTGAACTTTGACATTAGTTTATGTAAAGTACCTACCTTTGCACAAGTTTTGAGCATCTGAATTGACTTTTACTTTGGGTTGAGTTTTTTCCAAAAAGGCAATCGCATCTTTGGGTTGCTTAATTTGCTCGATTACAATTGCTACAATTTCAACTAAGGAAAGCGGGTTGATTCTGCAATGGTAAAAGCACAAATTATTATATGATCCAACTGGAGTTCAGTACAATGTAACTTACTTGTTTTCAAAAGTCTGAATGAAATTATTGTAGAGCTGTAACAGGTTGTCGCCTTTTTGCAATTCTGGCGTTTTGATGATGGCCAAGATTTTCAGTGTTAGCTGATGCCATAATCTGAAAAATTAAACAACCATGTGAGTACGTTATGGTTGTAAACATGAGGTTAGTATTATGTATAAGGTATGTATGTACGTATAAAGGGCATAGAGTATCAAAGTGGTTCGTACAGAATTTCAACTTTGACAACTTATTCAAGCTGTTGAAATGAATGGTCTCTAGGTATACGAAAATCAAAATAACCAACAGAAATGTCTCATATTTTTTTAAACTTGAAAAGACTTCCTACTGCTTGAAGGGATACTTTCTACTACCTTCTGAATGATGATTGAAGATTTTTTTGGGACATTTTATAAGGAAGTGACTATTATGGGAATTTTGTGATTTCCACTATTAGTGATGTCGGAGGACAAAATGCACTCATATAGAAGAAACATTATTGTTACGTTACTGCCTCGGTAAGACTGAAGACACAATGACAAATATGGGGTATAAGTGTTATAACCCAGAATAAATGCATACAAGATAATGCCATGATACAAAATTTCGATTTTTTGGTATTTTGTATATCTGTTTTGTATGCATCTTGTATTTGTTATTGTGTGTTCAGCCTTACTTTGCACTGCTCTACAAATTGATACCGAAATATTGAAACTATTGGAAGCACAAACAACCAATAAACTTTAGCAAAATCAAAACGAGACCCAGGACACTGATGGAAGAAAAAATATATGGGAGAAGTCGCAGATTTGTAGTTAGAGACAATACATGTTAGTAATGATAATGAAGGAGAGACACAATTAAGATATCCCCATTAGGCATATGACAATGAACAGGCCAAAAGTCACCATGTATTTTCATGATCCTAATCAGAAAGCATATAGATTTCCTGGAAGTCAGTTCCTCACGTCCCTTTTCGAGTAATTTCGCGTAAAATAAGCTGAGTCTGAGTAAAAAGGGCCCTGATGTTTGTGATTCTTCAGAAAGGAGTCCTACATGGGGCCCACAAAGGAACCTATATTTAGGGTTGCGTATGAAATATAAGGCAACTTACCTTTTATTATGTAATTCCTCTAAGGTTGCCCATACCGACACGAGGTCTTTGGGGCTTTCTTTCTGTTTTTTCGATAAATAATCGGTAATGCTTTGTTGTTGTACAGTTGCGGCCGCCATTTTGACAAGATGACTTTAAAAATTTTGACAGGAACATGACGAACAAAAATGTCTTGTCATTTGTCATCGAATAATCACCTATCACCCGCTTCTTTGAGGGTTTTCAAGCGTTCGACCGGTAATTATCGCAGTCATGCCCTTGGTTGGGTTGCTCTCAGTAACACCTTAGAATATTGGTGAAATGGTGGGGTGTGAAAAACAGCCAAGGATAATACACACTACTACACAGGATTGTTTATCGGCTTCGTTTTTGAGAATCACCGCCGTGTATTGTTGGTACGGGTACCCTACCACCATTGCAAGGTCAACAACGACGTCGTCAGCTGTTTGCGCCAGAGGCCTTATTCTGTAAGAACGAACCGTTTGATTCGGTAGAATTTCTTCGATTGTGACGTCATTTTTGGTTTGGTTTTCGCGCTACCAATCCGAAAATGACGTCACAATCGAAGAAATTCTACCGAATCGAACGGTTTGTTTTTTACAGAATAAGGCCCCAGCGGTCGTACTTTAGTATAAAGGTACGGTTTGTTAAGGTACGGTTTGTTAGGATGGTACGCGACGGACAACTGACAACGTAAACGTCGTCATTGGTTTAGGTATGATGTACACCCGTCTTCTGACGTGAGAAAACGGGTGTACGTCATACCTATGGTCATACCTGAACTAATGACGACGTTTACGTTGTCAGTTGTGCGACGCGTACTCTCCTAACAAACCGTACCTTTAGGATAGTACGCGACGCAAAACTGACAACGTAAACGTCGTCATTGGTTCAGGTATGACGTACACCCGTTTTCTGACGCTGACGCTGACGCCAGGAAACGGGTGTACGTCATACCTGAACCAATGACGACGTTTACGTTGTCAGTTGTGCGTCGCGTACTATCCTAACAAACCGTACCTTAAGGTACCTGTCCCAAATAAGGCCATGTACCTAATAAGGCCAGTGCCCTTTATTGCCTCAGCCTAATATTGAATCCCATTTTCAAAAATTACAAAATTAATAAAAAAGAAATCTATAATGCAAATCAAAAATTATTGCAAGGGTTCCTAGCAACTCGTCATAATGTCGAAAAATATCCAACCACATATTTCATATGTCACGTTATAACTTTGAGGCTGGAACTCAATTAGCTTATTATACGTAGTGTTTATAAAGTGAATGGAACGATTGTAATTTTTAAACATTTATGTATTGAGAAAGCTACAGAGTAAGTACAGAATAATATCTTTGCTAGATTTCTAGTTACAGACTTTTTTTTATCAATTTAAAATCTGTTTTTTTTTTAAAGATAAAAGTCAAAATGACATTATGTTGGCAATACAATGTAAAATTGTCAATGCTTTCAAATTTTTTATGTAGAAAAGGCTTGTGTTGCCAACATAGGGTGAGTTCGGCTTGCTCACTCCGTGCACTCGGAGTGACTCCATTCGCACTCCAGCCGTTCGGGTTAAGGTTCGGGTATTGCTTTTTACGGTATCAGGGGTGACTCCATTAGCTCTGTTCACTCCACTCCAACTCCGCGCTGAATAGCCGAACTCACCGATAGTTACTAAATTTTTGACTTGGAAAATTATCTTTAAAAAAAATAGACTTTAACATATTCCTAATAAGGCCATCATACGAAAAATGTTCAATTGGCCTCACATCATAAGGTGGGTTCGGCTAGCTCACTCGGAGTGACTCCATTCGCACTCCAGCCGTTCGGGTTAAGGTTCGGGTAATGCTTTTTACTGTATTAGGGGCAGGGATGTGACGTAGACTATGAAATCTACTTTACGCGGTTGTTCTACTCGTTCTCGTCTACGTATTGTTTACATCCAGTTTTTTCCATGTAGACTATGTAAACTATGTAGACAATGTAGACAACAGAAAATTTGAAATTTGAGTGATTTTTTTGAAAGTTTGCATTGCATTAAATTTATATTGGGTGATAGATCACTTTAGGTCTCTTTGATTTTTAATATGATTTTGATTATTACTGATAAACAAAGCAATTTCAAGATGGTTAGCGAGAAAAAAAATATGGATCCTTGAATATTTATCAAGTTATGATTTTTTTAATTTATTTTTTTTCTCTGTTGATTGTGCATCTTTGATAGGTAGGTATAGCGATATTAAGTGCCGATACTTTTGCTCTTATTTGACAGCCGTTAAAAATAATCAGGGGTTTGAATGTGCTCTAACCACATCATACTTATAGACCTTGGCCCATGCAAAACTTTGACGACGTATCAAATTCGTTAATCTAGCGCAAAAGTATCGGCCCTAAGCTGATAAGAATAGATATTATTCATTGATCTGTGTCAAAGGTTGAGAAGCGAGAGGATATAAAGGCATTAGTGACTAGTGATTTTTTACAATTATTATTATTTTGTTCATTTATTTTGTTTACTTTAATAGATTTCTATTTTATGGCAAAATCAGCATACCACCTTGGTAAATATTTACAATATTTGATGTTTATGGAAAGGGTTTTTCCTACAGCCGTGCGGAAAAATCGATTTTCCGCACTGATATGCGTGCGCAAAATGAGTTTTCCCGCACGGTGCGGTAAAACTTTTTTTTTTGACATATCAGTGCGGAAAAAGTTTTTCCGCACGGCTGTCAGTTCGGAAAAAATTTTACCGCACTGATATATGTCAAAAAAAAAAGAAAAACTTTACATTTTTACGCCTGTAGGAAAAATATTGTACCTAACACTTGCGGAAAATATGTTTCCGCACTCGGCTGCATCACCGAACTCCGCTACGCGTCGTTCGGCGAACGGCAGCCGCGTGCGGAAAAATTCATTTTCCGCACTTGTTAGGTAAATAGCTATTTTTTACTGGTTTTTTACTGACATTTTGAAAATTCCTACCTAATTTGTGATTAGTTTCCTTAATTAACTTAGTAGTTGTCTATTAATGACCTGACGGTGCAATCTTTGCATTGAAGTAAATGGTCAACATTTTGAACAATTATTGTAAACCATAATTTATTTGTTAATAAATAAGCAAAATTAATAAGTAAACAGTGATTTAATTATTGCGAAGAATAAAAATACCAAACAATTTTTTCGCTCCACAGCCCAAATGGCTCATTTGCGGACGAATGTTTATATAAACAAAAATGCTTGTTTTTTGTTTTGATGTCCCTTACTACCCTTTAAAGTTTGTCGGTATCTTTTTAGGACACCCTGTATATTTAAATAATATATTGTTTATCAAAAAAATTAACTCATCCATATTTTTTTTTCTTCATTATGTCCTAATAATTGCTCCAATGCAAATTTGAACATAGAAAAATTGTCCGTTTTTAGGGACCTAATGTGTTCTAGACCCTTATATTGTATCAAATTAGACATCCGCAGTTTAATTAACTTTGCAAAGCAATAATTAACAAAACAAAGCAAAAACAGAAACATAAAGTTTTTTTTTTTTTTTAAAGATAATTCCCCAAGTCAAAAATTTAGTTACTATGTTGGCAACACAAGGCTTTTCTATATAAAAAAATTGAAAGCTTTGACAATTTTACATTGTATTGCCAACACAATGTCATTTTGACTTTTATCTTTAAAAAAAAAACAGAATTTAATCTTAAAGGCCTGCCAATTGACCTTTTCAATTTAAAACCCTCTCTCTCTCTGGCGTCAAACTGTCAGACGCCAAAAGAGTATGAAAACAACGGTTGACAGCCGCTGACAGTGGTTTGTTGACAAGATTTTTGTACATGTGGAAACTGGAAACTATTATTTCTTCGGTTTTTTCAAAGTATTTTCCTAACAATAGTGATTGTGTAGTGTGCCTTTTTGTAAAAATAATTCCTATTTACTGGCGGACGTGTCTTTCCATAAGTTTCCATCAAATCCTACATTTGTCAAATTTTGGATACATAAAATCAGAAAGAATACTCGCAAAAAAAGGGAAATCCACGGCCTATCAATTATACAAAGTAATCCACGTTCAAGTTTAGTTTGCGGGAGCTGTTTGCTTCCAAAATAATCCACCGCTTTCTCCATAGCGAAGTTCTGCAAAGGAAGTAGTGACTTTTCCTGCATTTTCTTTCAAAACACCCCAATACACACTGGCATTGACAAGCAAGCAAATGTTGGCGGGAAAATGATTGTTTTCATACTTTATTGTCCATCTCTTTTAATTGAAAACGTCAATTGTCAAAAATTGTATACTTTACGCGTTGTCTACATATTTTACACGTGGTCTACATAGATAACATAGTTTACATTCTCTACGCGTTGTTTTCACCAGACGTAGACAATCTTTGTTTACGCGTAGATGCCACTGATCTCAAAAATATATGGATAAACAAAAAACGCTTCTAATGCTGCTTATTTACGAGGTCCTGATGTAAACAACTGGGACAGCTGTGAGCGTGCGCAGTAGATACATGTATTGTGTGTGCACAAAATCTGGCCAATGAAAATGAAGGAATTTCAAAATTTAGAACAGTTGTTCGAAAGATAAGACACTGCGCAGGCGTTAGGCTGTTCCGTTGTTCAACTCTTTGTAGAATATTGACCCCAAATTTTCGCACAAATTTTGCCAATCAAGCCGTATGAATTGTTTATCCATTTATTTTTTAGATCAGTGGTAGATACCCATCTCTGATTAGGAGTGACTCCATTAGCTCTGTTCACTCCACTCCAACTCCGCGCTGAATAGCCGAATCCAGCTATAGTGTTTTTTTAAAAGGAATGTGTCATATTATTAGAGAGTTCTCGTGCTGTCCAAATTTCAAATACCGTAACGTTATTTGACAAGTATGACAGTTCTTACGGTATTAGCGTTAGCGGAGCCCGTTACCTAACGGCAGTTAGCGGAAGCCTTACCGTAACGCTATGCTCTGTCAAAATTAGTTTACGCTCCATTTACGTCTGCAAGAACAGCAACTTCTAATAACTCCTCCATAAAAACACCAAGGGAAAATTAATCAAACTCAGGAATCTATGGTTAGATCACTCAATTCAGCTGTCAAAATGTAAACAGAATAAGGGATTAGAGGATTTTTGTATCTTCGTGTCCGGG